GCAAGGGCCAATTAAGCAAACAGCTGTTTAGCATACACACTATAGAGCAGGCTTGACCTCACATAATGTAATGGGATGTCATCCACGTGTGAGGAATGATCAGCCAGGACATGATAGGACATCACCTTGGAGTGAGTGGTTTATTAGCATCATGGCTTTACAGATTGTGAATTTTAGTGCAATTATTATAATATATAGTGTAATTATCTTGATGACTGTTCTTTTTTTTTTTTTTACTTTTATTATTGATTACAATTGCCAAGATTACAACAAACAGTACATTGCAGTACTTGCAAATTAAAAGGGTTATCCATATTAAATTAAGCCTTGATAAATTCACATAACATAGTGGTCCATGACAACTATAGCAATGGAACACAGACATGAGATGAAAGTTACATTTAGCATATGAGTTCTTGTTGAACTTTATACTTGTAAGCAACCTTGATTTGAGGAGGAGGGTACAGTGGATGATTATTAGGGTTGTCTTAAAGGAAGCTGCTCGCGTTTATGATACATAAATTTTTTTTGTGCATTATCATATTGATTCCAGATAGAGGAAATGTCTGTATTTGTAGTCTTTTGATTTCAATATAGAAGTACAAAGCATGGCAGAGGGTGAGAATATTGAAGAAGGAAAATTTTTTATATTGAAAGAGTCTACTGTGGGGACTTCCAAGGACTATTTTCTGCAACAATATTTTTAGGGGGAGATGGTTCACAGTAATGAAATGAAAAATAAAGATGATATTAACTATTATATCGATGTTTTTTTTAACCTTCATTGATAAAAAGAAAATGTGTATTGACCATAAATAAGTAAATAAATGTGTTAGACTGAGACCTACCCAAACTGGACTGGCTGTGGCTAAGAAACTTCAAATCATACAGCTGTAATGGACTGGATTGGAGGAAAACAAGTGAAAGTGAAGTAGCATGATAGGAAGAATTTGAATAAAGCAGAGATATGTTACTGTATTTGAGAACATTGATGAGCATTGGAAAGAAGAAACGAGCAAGAATGGCAGAATTTTATAAGAACTGCATTTTTGAGAGTTTCTATTCTTGTACAAAATTGACCTTTCAGAAAGAGGCCTCCATTACTGATAAATAAACATATAAAGGCATGAAAGGTCGCTACAAATGAATATCCCATTCAGATGAGTTATGATGATAGTTTGTAAGATGTAGTATCCTTAAAAAATTCTTGGGGAGAGGGGTTAGCTTAAACCTATAATATGGCATGGTATGGATGGAAGATGCTCCTTTTTTATGTGTGAGGTCTTTTGCAGTTTATAGACCAGTTAGTGATACCCTAATTAGGAATGCCAAGAGTTAACTTTATGCAACCATAGCAGCAACTCAAATCTGACCCCCCTGCCTGGGGGTAAGACCTGCTAGAACAGTCCTATTCAGCCTTGATGGACAGCCTACCTGGTGGATTGGTGAGACCATGCCTTTTTGTTAGGATAAAACTAGCTCGAGTCATTCTTCGGTGTTGTTTGACAAAAGACATAGAAATGAGGGGAGAGGAACAGGGGGAAAGGGGGGAGAGGAACAGGAGGAAAGAGGGGGAGAGAAATGAGTTAAGAGGAGAGAGAGAAGGGAGAATAATAAGAAGAGGAAGAAGCCAGGAGAAAGAGGGAGGAAGTGGAGGAGGGGAGGGAGGAAGTGGAGGAGAAGGAGGAGGAAGTGGAGGAGGAGTAGGAGGAGGAGGAGGAAGTATAGTTACAGTGTAAATTAAAATGGAGAATGGAACTTTGCCAACCTACATGGTACAAAACAGCTTTTCTCTGCTCAACTGCATAAATAGATAAATAGGGGACCAAATAGGTGGACAACTTTTATGAAATTACCAGAAACATTGGACAAAAAAGGAAAGCTGAAGAGAGGTTCATATAAGTATAAGCCTTGGTTTCGTGATGTAATAGAGAACATTAAAGTAAAAAAAAAAAAAAATAAAAAGGGAATCCATGCACAAAATGTTTTTTTTTGTCTCCAGAGAGGGGTGCAGTCACTGACATATATCAGGTGTTCCAGAAGTGTAGTGCAAAGTACCAGATCACACGTTTCATGATACCCATTACCCACTGAGTTTAGGTCAATCATAACTGCGCATGGTCGAGGGCTGCAGACGAGAATAGGGCCATTACGCATCTGTCCAAATCCACACAGATATGAAGTTTCTCTGGGTGGAATCTAATTAAACCAAGCGCAAGGCTGACACCGGGCACAGCACATGGCAGGAACCCTCAACAGACCATGCCTGAACTACTGTTTATCCCATAATGCGACGTTCTTTCTTAGCAAGGTCTAGATAGATATTAATTACGTACTCATTCGGACAATAGCAATTGATATCGAAGAATCGTGGCTGCTAAGAATGCCATGCGGAACCCGGTTCAACGACCATGGATGAGATGTCTCGCCCTAGCCAACGACGAAGGAAGGAGCAGCATACCCACGGCCCAGTAACAGTAAACCCAGTCGAACCGAAAGT